CGTTGTTAAAAATTTTTTTTATTTCAATGCTTCATGTAATAAAAAGACAGCATTCCGTTAAAGCTTAATAATTCACTTGGAATCTATATATTATAAATTTATTTTCCTTTAATGTTTGAAATTTATATGTAATAAATGCAAATTAGATTTATAATATAATAAATGATATTGAAAAATATTCAATCCGTAAATCAAATTTTTACAAAATTTCTTAATGACACTTAAAAGTGAGTAAAATTTTATGCAGATCCATTCACTTCGACCAGTGATTCTAAGTAACTAAGTTTAGAGACCTTTAGGAGTCTATCCAATCTTTCTTGATTCTCATTTTCGGGAAATAATTACAAAAGGAAGAGTTAGAAACGTGAAAGATAGTTTATTAGTTAACGTAAAAATGATTTCAAAAATCGAATGAATTATTAAAGCAAATTTACTATTATATTAAATCTCATTTCTTTCCATTTATGGTTCGTTTATAAATTCATTATTATTATTAAAAGGTGAGAAATAATCGAACGATAACAAAAGTTTATTATATACTAACTAATGTCTGGAAAAAAAAAAATTAAAAGTTCTCTATTTGTGTGCAATTTTACAATTTCACTTCTTATCTGATCTGTCAAACAAACATTTGCTAGCCATTAAACAGAAAATTTATGCAATCTTTACGCCAAACTTGATTTCTTTACGAGCTACCACATAATCCATGACCTCCTAGTCCTAGCACATTAATAAAAAAATAAATAATAATGATTAAAATTGATAATAAATGATATAAAAACCATACCTTCCATGATAATCACTAATTATTTGAAAACATACTAAACCATTTTTGGAACTAACGAGTTGGAAGAGGCATTCTTTTTTTTTTTTTTTTGATAAATCTTTTCGCAAAAAATTGATTGCATATGCATATTGCATATGCATATGCGTATTTTCTTTGTTATTTTATGCATATAAATATGCAATATTCTATAAATCACGCTAAACCAAAATTGAATTTATTGAATTTATTGGTTAGTATGAATGACTTCAAGTAATAAAAAATCCAACTATTCTTGCACAATCCCTTACCTTTATCTTTTGTTATAGTACGATTTTCTCACGTTCTCTCTTTTTTAAACCTTCAATAAAAATAACAATTTTCTTCCCTCTCTCCCACTTTTTTATGAGGATTTCAACCCGACTTCATTATTAATTCCGTTTTGTATAATTTTACACCGGGTCAAAAATTAAAAAAAAAAAGAATTGATTTGATTAATGTCTTAAATATCGTAGCAATAAATTATAGGTATGTGAAAATTGCCTTTTGTTTTCAATTTATTATATACGCTAAGATCACAATTAAAGTTTTGGTGTTTATTCAATAAAGGACATACGAGGCTTAGAAGTAATTGAAGCATAGCATATTATATCAAAAGATACTCTTCAAATATTATAGAAGAAGTCATGATTAATGCAAAGGTACGTGCTGAAGAGTGAAGACACTTTATAAGCATTACGAAGAAATCAATAGCACATGTTCAGAACTGGAAAGGTTTTTTGAATGCGCTTATAATGTTCCGAAGGAGGAATCGGCCATGTACCTTCTTCAAACGGTCGAAAAATTTAGTCTTGCATCTGTACACGCAATCATTTGTTTTCCTTTCTGAGATTTTGACTTTAGAGATCTAATGTGCTAACATATATCTTCTGCAATTAATTTAATTTTCTAACTTTTCCATTTTAGGATCAAGAAACATCCCCTCAAATTAAACGTTTTTTTAAATCAAATAAACCAAAAGAAATTATCGATACCTATGAGAAGTCTTCGGTAATTAACTGTTTTTACTGATGCATTGCATGAAGATTATTATCTATAAACCTGGTTGTTAACACATTTTCAGAATTTACTTACTTTAGAAACATACATTCCAGTTGAATCTTCCGACCAGAATCGTAAAATAGACGATGATCAAATGGTAGCGGTGATTCTTTGTATTCTTTTTGTAAATGTACAATTTTAGAAAATGTATTTATAGTATTATTTCTATAGGACCCGAATGTAATGTCACAAGATATATTTGAATCCGAATTTCATTGTTCTGAAAATATGATGTCGATCTGTCAATACCACAATGATATCTACTCGAATGATTCTCTGATTGATTTGAGGCCCAATTCGAATTTTACAAAACAACTTCCTTCAAACATTCTAGTACCTTATCTTGAAGAGCTCGATGACAGGATCGAAAGTTTGATTCCATCGAACATCCATAACTTTTTAACGAAATTTTTCGGTCAGAATTTAGCGGACGGTGATTGGAATGATAAGATCGATGACCTACAATGTTCAGATAAAACTGATCATTTAATGGTTTCAACGATACGAATCTTACGCAGGACTTTACCAATTTTGTAAGTACAAACATTTTCCCTACAAATTATTGAATTAGTTACGGCATCTACTTAACTTTTATAGTATTATGGCATTTTCACTAGGACCAAATAATCCTCTTTTGAATTTGACTACCTTAAAAAGAACGCATTTAAATGAATTTGTGCACCCATGTTTGCAAGTCAGCCTATGGTACATATCATCTATAAGTTACGAGTTCGGAGAGATTACTACGAATAACGATTTACGGAAATACGCAGATGGTTTAGGATATTTAGACAAATATCGATTAGTGTATATGGAAGGTTTGAGGCCAAACAACAAAGATGAGAAAGCGATTGCAGATGCTTCAAAAATCTCCAAAAACCTACAAAACATTTTTTTAAGCGTGGTCAATGATAACGTAAAGTACAGAAGACGACTACCCAAATCTCTGGCCGTCTTTGGTGGTCAAAGTTTTCTAAACCAAATTCACTTGCAATTTATGGATTACTGTGGTATGTCATTTATTTTTTCAGTATTAGTTACTCATTATATTGACTAATGATATTCTAATCTTAGGAGGAGGAAAATTCCGCCTTAATGAAGTAGACAACGCCAAACTACCACGCGACTTTACAGAGATGGGGGATTTCGTATTCTTTTACGAATGTATTATAAAGTGGGCTGTAAGTATCTTTTTATTACAATAAATTACTTACATTAACATTATTAATATTAAATTCTGAATTTAGTTGCTAGCTCGGGAAGTCAAAGAAGCTTTTGAGGAATAGGAGCAAAACACTGAAGATGCTTTATCATTTGTGAATGACAAATGAAATAAAAGCGAATCCTGTTTTTTTTTTAAAAAAAAAAAATTATATATTTTTTCAATTAATTTATTGTTTTCAATAATACTGTGAAATTTTTAACGATCATTTCGTTTATTTGATTATTTTCTAATTATATATGGACATTTTTATTTGTATAACCGATTTTAGAATAGATTAATTATTTTTCAAGTTTCATTCTAAGATTCTATTTTCGGTTTCGATTAATTATGAAGTAGCGATTTTTATGACGTGTACAATAAAAAAAACATTTTATATTCAATGTAGGAATTCATTCTTTATTGGTGTAGCATTCTTTTATTTCAAAAACTTTTTTTGTAATTACTTTCGAGCAATCAATTTTTTTTTTAATTATATTTCTCTTTCGGTTTGGAAATATGCGGTACGCGTTTTCTTTAGTTTCATTCTTAGTTTCATTTATTTAAATTTATTTAAATTTTTTATTTTCGGGTTCTCTTTGGGTCGTATCTGCATGTTTTTTTTTTGTTTTTATTTATTCAAATATTTTTTACTTAATCAATGATAGTTCTCCGGAGTTTAAGTTTTGAATTGATAATATTCTTCACACAAAAATTTGGTATAATGTTGGAGCGCGTGATGCAAGTTATGCAGAAATTTTCAATACTTGATTGACGCATCCAGAAATTAATTATTGTCTATTATATATGAACCTGGACATGTTCAAGAAAAAGCGGAAACTATACGGTGACATCACGACAAGTGAGAAATATTTTTAATGCATCCTCTACTCTATCTAATCTATCAAAATTCATGTTTGAGGATCAGCATCAAAGACATTTACTGCATTGAATAGTAAGTCATAATATCGAATCTTCGATAATCCAATCGAATTGTACAAGAACGTGAAGAAGATTTTAGAACTAATAGTGGGTTTGTTAAAGGATAGGGTGTTTTCTAGTGATGAACATGCATCGAAGAAAAAATTAGGAAAAAATAAACATCTATATTAGTCAGCCACCATTAGCATAGAAATTCGTAACATCCCGAGTTATGTATTTAATCAATGAGCTCTTGATTATGCGTGATCATTTGACAACGAAGATCCAGGGACATTCACGTTTGCGACGCCCACAGCGGATTCATAGTATATAAACAACAAGAGAGGTGTAATTCTTCTCATTCAACAATTAATATAATTCCAGACCATTATTTTTTTTATTTAAGTTTCGATATATAGGTGTGCCATTTTCTCTATAATTTAATCAACCATGGCTAGCGAAACTCAAACAGGTACTACAGAATCCAACTCGAAACATTTTCATTTTACAATTCCCAGTGATAAAAAAACGTTCCTAAACTTAATCCACCTTTACAAATATTTTAACCATTCGATTTCCGGAATTCAACGGATGACAGGAGAAGCATATTAAACGAGCAGGAACGAAATATTCTTGACCTTCATATCCAATAAGAACTTCGCACTCGCCTATGTAGAAAAAAAAACAAATCCGGGAAAAGCGATGACACTGTGGAGGATGAGACCAAGGAGGAACTCACAGATTCGTTGGTACTTATGGATGGCTCTCGTGCTGGATAAATGAGTCGATCAAATCACCACACAGGTTCACATGATTGAGAATGCGGATTCTGTTGATAATAGGTAAATGATGCAATTCATCGCATATATGTCTCAATTTATTTCTTTCCAGAAATTAAGCAAATCCTAATGATGAAAACCACACCACCAATACGCAGGATAACTCGGAGGATCTAAATGCAAATAGAAAATAATATCAATACGCAAAAAATCAAATCCCAATTGAGAAGAAATTCATCAAGGCAGTCTTCAAGGAAGACCTCTTCAAGGAAAGGAACAATTGTGAACAGGAAATATTCAGGCTTTCTGCAAGAGTTATCTACCAAGGAAAAATGTCAATGATGCTGAGTATGTTGATGAGTCCGCAAAGATTCCTGGTTGCTGCACGACCTCACGATATGCTCGACTAGCTGTTGGGAGGAAGCTTTAGATCTAATATCCAAAACCCTATTTCAGCATATTTATACCAAAAAAAACTTTCATCCTGATTTGTTGATAAAATCAGGCTCATCATGAAAGCAAATTTGCATAAGAAAACCAAGATAGCAAGGAATATATACAATGTGTTTGTGAGATTACTATTAAAAAGAACAAGCGGGTGAAATCATTTTGCAGAAATCTAATAAATTTATAGATTTATTGTCCTAAGCATAGCGGAGGACCTTATACTTTTAAGCAATAGCCAAATGCAATGTCCTGCATATTGATCAGCTAGAGTGTCCAGGATTATGCTGCGGCATAATATGCGCATAATATTGAATTTAGCGCATAGCATTATGCTTTCGCATAATTTAGGAAATTCCGCATAAATCACATAATCGCATAATCCGCAGTAATAATCTCAATTTTTATTGGTTATTAAGATCTTTAATT